TGATATTTTTTCGGTGCTAGAACCCTTTCGGCCGAAAGCCGAAAGGGCCTTTTTAACCATTTTCGGCCGATAATTTTCGGCGGCCGAATATTCGGTGCATCCCTAGTTATTTAATGGTACTATTTTGCAGCTGGGGTTTTCAGTCATGTTCAAGTAATGGCTCCAAGTTACACAATAGTGTACATGCTGAGGTCAAGTTCATATTGAGGGTACTTCATGCACCCTGATACGTTTTGCTCAATATAACTTGATATGAGATACATATTCATAAACAGTCATATACTATATAACTCCCCTCTTATGTCTCCCAAACAGACAATCAAGGCACGTGAGGCGAAAAACCCGACATCGGGGTGTGTGTTTGTTCGGAAGTACACATTCTAACAATTTAGCCGGTTTTCCACGTTTAAACATAGTAATTATATCCTAACGTTAGACTCTTATTATTTGTTAAAACAGGAAATCATAATTTCCTTTTTTTCTCGGTGAGTAATCCGGTCTTTACTTGCAGTACACATCATCCTGCAGAGTTCATTCAACCGTATTGACATGCTGTTAGTGCAGGCAAGGTTAAAGTGATGAATGAGAGGTTTACAATCAATAATAAACCTCAAAGCTCCGTGATTTACCAAGTGTCCAAGCAGCAAAGACATTAAGAGGAGACCTGAGAATGTAAAATACTGCTGCAGTATTGTACTGTCATAAAATTGGCAGCAACCGGTCTCTTAAGCGAATCACAAGACTAGCTCCTCCATTATAATCTCCATTTTCAGTTTCATTGTCTGAAAGGTGTTGAATATTTTATCTGAAGAAAAGGTCAGTTGAAGTACTGAACAGATTCAAGAGTCTCATTTTACCAATTTGCCAGCACATGCATCCTATTATTAATAAACAAAGGGATGTTCTGCAATACTATTTTTGCAAATCGGGAAATATCTTGTTTTATATTAAGGTTTACTGGCACTCCAGCGCACATATCCTGGGTGAAGCTATGGAGAAGGTGTATGGAGGCTGCCTGTGCTACGGCCCCCCCATCGAGAGCGGCTTCTACTACGACATGTTCTTGGAGAGCACTGCTGAGTAAGTCAAACAGGCTTTGTTTTCAGACTCTTTGTTATTTTTGTTTGGCTTCAAGCCTTAGCAACTGTCAGTTGGGTTCACTGTCTGGCAAAAACAAAACGGGCGGATTGTAATGACTCACATGCTGTCAAGCCTGATTTTCGTTGGGTGTGGATTTGAAATTGCATCTTCCAATTTCTGCCCGCAGGATTCTGAGTCTAAAAGCAAATTTATTCAAAACAACACCAGCGCTTTGAAAGTGTGTTGAGACACCCTCAGAAGAAGCATTTCTTCTCAGTAAACAACTTTTCACTTGACCTTTCCTGAAACAGACGCATTTCTCCTTGCTTCAGGCTGCAGGAGAGCGTGAGGAGAGCTGTCTAATTAATTCTACAACCTAATGAAGTCCTTTTATGCTAATGAAATTCTTGGAGACGATTTTTGCAAGGATATTTGAGCCCCTCAAGCCAAGGACTTTTAAATACTTGCCCATGCTTGGCTGAGGTTAGAAGTTTTTGGAGGTCAAATAATTACATTGGTGAACAAACCTTGGTCTCATCCATGATGCCCTTTAGAAACCCTGGCTGACTTAATTTAGCACTGTGTGCACTTTGCATGTTAATGTAGGAGTAGTTATTGTATGTAATGCTCTTGTTGTGTTTCTCTCTTGTTTTGACAGTGGTGTTTCAAGCAATGACTTCCCAGGACTGGAGACCTTGTGCAAGAAAATTATCAAGGAGAAGCAGCCCTTTGAGAGGCTGGAGATAAAGAAGGAAACTCTGTTGGAAATGTTCAAGGTATTTGAAAACACAAACGTGTGAAAAACTAAACATCTAATAATTAGCTCAACTCTAAAAGCACGTATTCTCCTTAACAGTACAACAAGTTCAAGTGCCGCATTCTCAATGAGAAGGTGACCACTCCCACCACCACAGTGTACAGGTGAGTCGTGAACCCATGCATTGTTTTTTTTTTCCTATTGTTTTTTTCCAGAAAAACCTACATACATACATACATAACAACACAGCTAAATGTTACATGTATCACATATCAAGATATCAAAGTACCATGGCAAACTACAGCAGAGACAGGACAATAACTGACAGGATGGACAAAGGGAACCTCACAGAGGTAGAGCATCATCCATGGCATACACGATATACATGATACGCGGTATGTAAACCATCCTGCACATACTACAATACAACACATTATATACATAAAATATGTAGTACATCACATAACTTTATTTTGGGTTTTCAATTGTTTTAAAGGGTTGAGCTCTCCAGCACTTCAAGTCACCGCCACTAAAGGGCCCCATATTTTCATGTAGATATCCATTCTATTTATCATTTTATAGCATAATCTTTCATAGGAGGAGATTCTGGCCATTTTGTCCATCCATTCCTTAAAGGTCTTATGACATGCCTTTCTGGTTATTACCCGTCCCCTTGTTTGTTATGTATCTTGTTATGCATTTAAACGGTCTGCAGAGTCAAAAACCCTCAAAGTACACCCTGTAGCGAGTAAAACTCTAACCAAGAAAAGACCTGTCTATGCTGCCCCAGAACACCTCGTTGTGGATTTATCTTTTTGTATTGTTTACTTCTTGGGTATAGTAATGTAACGGCTCCGCAGATTGGTTACCGTTACGTTTAGACCAATCCGCGAACTTCCTCAAACACACACTCACTCTGCGGGACGTTGCGAGGCTCGCTGCTGCGAGGAGCGGGACACTGTGAGCTGGCTCACTGGTGTGGGGTAGGCGAGACCAGACTGAGTTTTGCGCTGTCTTGCAGACGGCCACTGGGCTCACAGGGAGGGGGGGGCGGGCAGGCAGGAGCTCCAACAAGCCGTTTAGGACAGAGAGTGAATACACATACTATACAGAGATGCTGTATGAGAAACCAATGTGAGTTTGGAAAATTGGCCACAATAGTAAATGTATTTAGTATACCTCAAACAATGAATTATGGATCAAGTAGAAATGGTCAATGGAAATGGGACCCTTTTTAAAGATATATCCCCTGTAGTTTTCCAATGTCGCACACCCTACCCTACATCGCAGTATAAGTGCTTTTCTGCACCCATCGAGAATCTGATCGGCATTCAGACTACTTTCCTTTGGTACCGCATACCTTAGTATGCAAAGTATTGTCCCTGTGCCAGAAGAGANTAAATAATAATCACTATTATGGGTCCATAAAACATTTATTCAGCACTTTTCAGAGAAAAGAAAATGCACTTGACTTGGAATTAATGTACTGTATGCATTCAAAAGTGCTGAATAAATGTTTTATGGACCCATAATAGTGATTATTATTTAAGTTAAGTTTTGCCATAATCATTTATTTTTCCATAATCAGGCAGCTGAACAACATTGGTAAAAAATGTATACATTATATATATATATATTTCTATTAATCATTTTCGGCCTTTCGGCATTCGGTTTTCGGCCAACTGTTTCCTATTTTCGGTATCGGTTTCGGCCAAGAATTTCCCATTCGGTGCACCCCTATAAATAACCAATGTTTGATTCCAGGGAAATAGGGAGGCGTTCTATTTAAGGAACAGAATCAGTCAGGAAATGATGTAGAGTAAAGTTATGCAATATCTGTGACTATAAGAGATTGTGATTGGTATGTTTGGTTTTGTTGTAATAAAACATGTAGATTTGGAAGCTACTGTTTCCAGTCTTTTTCTTTTGGTATCCAGAAATGTATACAATTGATAAGCTTTGGGAGACTCAAACATAGTCTCCAAGTTAGTACCATCAGAGAGCACTTCAATTAAAACAAATATTAATTTGTCAAGATATTTCATCATTGTTCCATTTCATAGCGTTTGAGTTTCAATAAAAGCAGATATGTTTTTTAAAAGGGGGCAAACTATGCATCTAAAATAAAGGGTTAGAGTAATTTACTACAGCAGGAAAAAACAAATAAGCAATGAGTCAGCCAAGGGATGGAGTTGACTTACAGCTTGAGCCTCCTCATCATCAAACTTCAGCAACTGAAGGCTGCAGTCCTCCTCCAATGGTCGGTCCAGATCCCACACACCGTTATTCACTTTAGCAATCACTGTGTTGTCAGCAAGGCCTTGACTGAACGTAAAACAGGAACATATTTCAAAATCTAATCATCAATTCATTGAGTAGATGTAAAAAACATCAATATTATTTTGAATTTATACGAGCAAGACCAATTCATACAAAAACTAATTCAAGAAGTCATTCGAATGATGCCTGAGATATTGCATTCAGGACATTGGGATGGACAGTCATTCCGAAAACAATGAATGAATGAAGCAATGCAGCATCCACTCAATAATAGTGATATATCTGCTTACATGTCCTTTTGTTTACTGTGCAGTCTGGTCATGTAAATAAATGCTATCAACATTTAATTTAACATTAATTCAGTCTTGGCACCTGTTGCATATAGACTATCCAACGGCAAAGCTTCTACGACTTTTCCTTTAATGAGGCCTTTTGAATGAAGGATTAAAGGCTTTATAAATAAAATTGACAGTTAAAGTTGGCAAATTAAATCCCTGAACCACCATTATGGTTTTCCTTCTTTGTTGTGCTGCATGAAAACGGGCTTTCAATATCATTTAAAGTGACAGGGATCCTATCATCACACTGACCTGATTCCACAGGCCACCTGGTATGGTGTAGTCTTCCAGGATTCGGCGTCCACCACCTTCCCATCAGGGAGAGTCACCTTGATGGCCCGGCTGTCCTTCGCAGCCCTCTCAGCCATCAGAGCGTCATGCTCGGCTTTCAGCTTGGTGTACAAAGAAAGACGCTCGTCTATGTACTCAGGAGCTGTTGTCAGCTAGAGGGAGACAAAAAAAGTAATTCAGGATACAAAAAAATGCTGAAACTGTATAACATTCATTGGGTGTCAAGTTTTTTTTATTTAAATGAAATATTTTTCTCTTAGACTAGCCAATACATTTTTTTATTACTCAGCTTGTCTGAGGACATAACAGTGCGGACAAAAAGACACACCTGCTGTGTTAATGGGCTTTATACGTTTAAGATGACCAAACTATTTTCTGTTCTAAAACTTGTATCCATTTGAACTTTTAGCTTTAACTGGGCTATCTCAATGTAATGCCATTGATTCAATTTGGCCTCTTATTCATCATTGCACATGAAAAGATGAGAAGGGTTTCACCTTATACTTGTTTTGACTATACAAGTATCTGATCAAAAAGCTCAACAGCCATGAAGCCAGTGGGAGTCTGCTTTGAGATGCATGAGCATGCAATGAAATGCATCTATTACAATACATTTCTTGTAAACATTACATTATGATGATATCTAATAAAAGCCTCTTCATTCTTTCTGAAAACAAATTGAGCAACTTACCTCGGCCCTGCCTGCAGATTGCCCAGCAGCATTTTTAGGCTTTTTCTTTCCTCCATCTTTGCCGCCTTGAGTCCCCCCCTGTCAGAAAATATTAGTAAACTTTATAAAGAAGAAAGTGGATATAGGACACGCTAATTTTCAAGCTGTTTCAGACATAACTTCCTTGATATGAATTACAAACCTGATACATACAGATGGTAAAGGTGCATGTACACAATATTTTTACATTACAATAGTAACATGCAATACTTATATTAGGCACATTTATATTAACACTGTAAACAAATATATTATTTTGAAGAGACCTTCCTCACTGGTAATTATATCACCTCAAACCAGAACAATATGGGATTTACAAAGGTGTATGAAGTAGTCTTCACCACATCACAGAGTCATCCAAGTTGTAAGGCACACTATGGTTATTATTAGAAAGTCGGGGGAGTACCACCCGTTTTAAAGAGATAGCTTTTATATCACAAAGGTGATCATTGCAAGTTCATACGTGTTGCCTAACGTATCCAGAAACAATGAAACATTCGATTGTCGGAATTTTGCATTGAGTTTGGCGTAAGGCACTCTCTCGAGCTACAATGTCCCAATTCAAACCCGCCGACTAGGCTCGCTTATCTGAATTGTGACTCCATTTTCTTTAACATATTTAAACACAATGAATGGTATTTTTGGAGTTAAATTTTAGGCAAAGTCAACATAACTTATAAAAGCTAGGCAGCCGCAATAATAGCACCGCATTGCTGGTGGCTAAATGACAGCATGAATCTGGCTACAGGCTAAGCTAGCTGCTATCTCGCTAATATAACTTTTAGACTCAAGAATGAAGCTTCACCTTTTTTTTCTCGTCCACTTGCATCTCGCTCATTTTCTCCACGACGGCCTGGTCAGCCATAACAAGTGAAAAGCTACCTCACTTTGAGAGATAACTTTAGCACGTCTGGGCAATGTGTGAGTTTATACTGTCAGCACAGCAGTGAGGATACCGGTAAAAGGCTGATGACGTACCCGGATATTGCAATTCTGATGCAATGTTGCCATCGAGGAATTGCTTTGTTTGGCAGAAGCTAACATCAGCCGTCTTGTGTTTTGTCTTGATTTGAATTCAGTGCTTGATTAAAAAACCTTACAAGGCACAACAAATGCAATTATTATATTATTATTATAATACACCCATCTTCAAATTTAACGTTGCACGCCTGTAAAGTATAGTGACACCAAATTGGGCCAGGCCCCATGTCTCCGTTGCTCGGACTATATTAATTAAAAAATGTTGTAGTTTTTTTTTTAGTAATTACACATCTGAAAAGTAATTTTGATGTATCTTGCATGGTGGCAGGGCCGTCCCTCCCTTCAGGCCGATCATGCAGACTGCGTGGGGCCTCACCTTGCGGAGGGGGCCTCATCTTGAGGAGGGTGCCTCAACTGAGCCGAAAATGTGGTGCACCTATGCGCTTATGTGGCGCAATTAGTGTGTTATAGTTTCGCCGCTGCGAGGCTCCAGCATTGATTCTTACTTAAAATAATACATGAATACACTTATTTGGCCATTGTTATCTATTATTATGGAAACTCAATTTATCACACTTTTTAAAACCAAAATGATTAATGGACATTTTGAAAGTGATTGATACCTTAATGCTTAAAGGGGACCTTTCATGCACAATGCACTTTTGTACGTCTTTTATACATGAATATGTGTCCCCGGGGTGTCAGGGAACTCATCAAGTGTCAGAAATCACAACCCTCTCTCTTTTCCTCCATACCCAAATCTCTAAAAACGGGGCTGCAACGGAGCTGATACAGACCAAGCGGCAAACTCTGTGGAACAGCCGGGACGCCAATACGGAAGTGTATGGAGCTATTTCAGGGTCATAAGTTTTGATCATTCAAAAAAATTCAATTTATTTGAAAGTCCAAGTTTTCATCCTGAACTTTGAAAAATACAATGTTGTATTCCAAACAAAAAAAAGTATTTGAAATAATTTTTCAGGTTGAATATTATTTTGATTCAGTTCAGCAATTTTTTAAAATAAAATATTNTTTTC